TCTCTCTTATAAAATTTCTTTACCTTTACACTCCATCTCCCATAATCAAAAATCTACAATACCCTTTTAAATATCCATATATTTCTCTTCCTTTTTCAATATTATTTCCTTACTGCCCCCCCTTTTTTTTTTTTTTTTTTTTTTTTTTTTTTTTTGGCTGACACAAGATTGCATATGACTTAGATCCCGTTCTGTTGAAGAGAAAGGCAGCGAGAATCAGAAAGGAGACGGGTGACGAGAGGTATTATGCGCCGATTGAGCGGTCGACAAAGTCGATTCCAAAGACTGTTGGTCTTTCGCTGTTGCGACCGTTCCAGATCCTGATGTTTGAGCCCATGGCTTTGATCCTGAATATTTACACTGCCATGCTCTTGGGCCTGCTGTATCTCTTCTTTGGAGCGTTTCCACTGATCTTTACGACGAATCATGACTTCAACCTGTGGCAGGTTGGGTTGACGTTTACGGGGTTGTTGGTGGCCATGATTATTGCCTGCTGCGTCACGCCGCTGTGGAACAACTTTCGGTATACGTTGAAGGAGAGGAGGAGGAGGAGGACGGGGGTGCTGAAGGATGAGCCCGAGGATCAACTGCCGCAGGTTATTGTGGGCGCGCCGCTCATTACGGGGGGGTTGTTTTGGTTTGGGTTTACGAGCACGCCCGAGATTCATTGGATTGTGCCGTTGATTGGGTCGGGGGTTTTTGGACTTGGGTAAGTGTTTTCATCCCATCATCATTTTGCTTTCATGGAGAGGGAGAGGTTGGGATCTGCTTGAGGCGGCTTGGGGGGCGGTCTCTCTGCATTCTGTTCTTCTTTTTCAACCCCACGGGCGGAGAAAAAAGAAGGCAGAGACATGGAGGAGGCGAGAGACGCGTCTTCGCAGGAAGCAAGGCCCCCAGGAAGGGGAAAGAAAGGGCCGCAGGTCTCTCGGTTCTGTACGCCCTTACGCAAGCCTGGCTTTGGGCTTGAGGTTTAGTCATGGCTTTGTCAAGATGGGGTTTCCTGATGGCAGTTGGATTTGGAAGAAAGGGGGGATTGTTATGTGTTGGTTGTGTTTTTTGGCATGCAAGGAGTTCATGCGGCTAACCGGGCTTTTTGCGTCGTAGGATGTCGTTCGCTTTTACGGGGGTATTTACCTTTCTGGTGAGTCTTGATCTTCTTTCCATTTCATGGCACCCACCGCTTGTTCTTCCCCAAACTTTTAGGCAAGTTCAACCAAGAGGGGAGAGTTGTAAGTGTTATTGACGTTTGCCTGCCTGCCTGCCCTGACGACGGAGCTCAGCCCGGAGTATAGGCAGCTAGGTGGTGGTGATTTTTTGAGGCTGCACCAAAAAGCAGGGCCCTGTTAGCTGCACTCCCCCTCTTTCAACCCCCACCCCCCCTCCCCTCTTACCCTGGTTTGGAGAAAATGTATTGGACAAAATGCGAAAAAGAAGAGAGTGAAAGAAATAGGTATGCTGATACGAGACGGTGGCGTTTGGTTTTGTTACATAGGTCGCAGCCTACCCGCGGTACGCAGCCAGCGCTTTGGCGTCTAATGCTTTGGTGCGGTGTTCATTTGCTGGTAAGCAAATTCTTTCTTTCTTTCTTTCTTTCTCTTCTTTCATATCGTTCATTCGCCTTGGATGGGGGTTTTTTTATTTATTTGGTTGGTGCCACGACATTTGAGGACCGGCCGGGATGATATCTCTATCTATCGATGGCAGGGGAGAGAGCTGTTGTCCTCTGCTGTCTGGTCAGGCGATTGTCTTGGTTTTTTTATTTTTTTTTGTTACTTGCTGGGTTGGGTTACGAGGGAGGATCAGATAAACTACCATGTTTTGGGGCGTTGTTCCATGTACCTTGATGGCCTGGGAATGACTGGACGATTGCTAACGACACTGGTGGGGGGAAATAGCCGCCTTTCCGTTGTTTGGGTACCAGATGTATGAGGCGCTGGGGTTCCAGTGGGCGACGGGGTTGTTGGCCTTTATTACTTTGGGATTGATGCCTTTTCCGTATATATTTTTTAGGTATGGGAGAAGGATTAGGGAGAGGAGTCGGTTTGCTAGTGCTACGTAGGGGTTTGGGGGGTTAAAAGGGGGGATGGAATATAGACTATTGCCTGTGTTTAATGGATGATGTAGACATTGTGGTTTAATGGCAGATATTAGATGAGCGACCTTTTATTGAGAGATGGATTGGACGAGTGATGTTTTGGTCGCTGTGGGGGTTGGAAAAGTCCTGGCTGGCTGGCTGGCTTGTTGCCCAGACGAAAAAAGAAGGTGGTTGATGGGAGCTCCCGCCCGTTTCTGAGACATTTCACTGGCACTAGTTGAGAGCTAAGAGATTTATTTTCCCCGCGAAGAGAAAAGCTTGTTGTTGGTGGTTTGTGATTGATTTTGTCTTGGCCAAGTTTTGAGTGGGGTGTTGCTTTGGGGACGAATTGGTTCTTGATATGTGAGAGACTTGAACCGGGCCGGGCAAGGGGAGGGATAGGGACGGGAAGAGGTTGGATCGGCAGAGGCGACTAGTGAGATGCGGGATTGCCGATGGGGGACTTGATCGAGTCGGAATCAGGCAGTGGATATTCACGAAAGACAGGTTGGTTTGAGGACATGGGTCTGGCCTGGGTTGCTTTGTGGACGACGTGAGAAGCTGGAGTGGTCTGACTATGACGATCGTGCGGGCTGAGCTCTGGGCCTTGGTGGATGCTGTGTCCGGGGACCTTACCTACTTGAACTGCGAAGAAGGGGAGGGAGGTATGTGGCCCGCATGTTGATCTGGGGGAGTGACAAGTTGGGTAGGTAGGTGGTGAGTGACATCAACCAAGGGGCAAAAGAGTAAGAGGGAGAGAGAAAACCTCAAACATGGCTTATTGTTCTTGTCACACCTAGGGTATGTATGTTGCCAACTAATCTTCAACTCGTGATCGAGAGCACCAAGGACGGTGTGAGATAGATTGTGGGGAGATGGGAAGGGAGGGTGGGGAAGTGGGAGGGACGGGTGATCAGAGGCTGGTGGTGGCAAGGAGGTAAGTATATGGCCGATGGGGCGGCGGTGGTCAAGTGCAAGAAAAGAGCAAGGTATTGACCATGGTGTTTGTTGGTGAGAATATACATGTGTGCTGGGAGAAATGGTGGGTAAGCAATAAGAGTACACGCAGGTTCTCTCTATTGGTACCTGGATCGATACGGATGGGTGCGTGAGCTGCTGGTCAAGATGACGAGTTTGAAGGCGGTGAAAGTTGGGGAAACACACGCTTGAACCGTACATGTAAACCGTAGGCAGGTGTGTGTTTCGTGGTGTGGGTGGGTGCCCGTCATGGAGGGAAGCAGGTGCCGCCGCCTCCCCGTGATACCGAGTTTCTGGGACGGTATTGGTCGAGGGTCTTTACCCGCTGCACATGGTTTGCTGGATGTTGGTGTGGGTGGGTGATCAAGATCTGGTTAGGGGATTTTTGTGATCGTTTGAGCCCATCACCAGGGATGGCTGTGGGGAGAGGGCGGGCAGCCCACAACATGTCGTGGGAGTTAAAGTGCTGACAGCGTTATAGTGTTGGCGGTCACGTTGGCTGTTTGGATTACGTGGGATGGTGTGGAGGTGGGCCAATGATGAGGTTTCAGCATGTCAAGCACATGAAGTGTATACACCTTGCTGACATGGGCCTTTGTCCTGTGCAAGGTAATCTATCCGAGGCGTCATGGACTAGCGATGATGTAAAGGCTGTGTGGGCTTGGATGAACGTGCAGTAGACACGTAGGGTCCACTCGCGAGCAGCTCCCGGAACAGCAGCTGAAGAAGAAAAAAAAGTAAACCAAACACACTGTCTACATCTGCTGTGCAGTTTCGTTCCAAGCTGATGTGTGTAGATCTGATCTGATCTAGCGTAGCATTTGATGCCCAACACACTGCTCTTCACGATGTGCTCTGCATGTTTGTGCATACGGTACCCCTGAGGGGCTGGCTGGCTGGCTGGCTGGCTGTTGCTGGCTGTGGTCGCCTGCCTTGCCCTTTGCCGACGATGTGATAATGTGAGGTGACGATACCCGGAAGCCGGGCAGATAGGGGGAGGACCAGGGGCGTGGGCAGATCGATCTAAAGGTGCGTCTAACCACATCTATCGTTTCGGTCCGCGAATGGTAGGTGGGTAGCAGTGATGGATGAAGCCGCGGAGAAAGTGGACAGTATGTAATAGAATAACGGACACTTTCATCCGATTCGGACGCTTTGCCTGTTTACGTGCAGGTTGTAATATGCTGCAAATGTGACCATGTCAATTTACGTAGGGCAATGGAGGCGGGCACCAGTACCGGCTTTTTCTTTGCTTCTTCTGCTCGTTGGTGCCAAGTCACAAACTTCAGGTCCTATCCTCAGCCAGCCATCCCATGTGGGATTTGTTGGATAACGCTTAATAGATCCACGGAGAATTGTCCCAACATGGCCGGCCATGAGGCAGATATGGGCTGATCAACGGCCATCACACGCGCCTGGCTGGGCAGCAAAGGCCTGACCAGAGAGCGGAATAGGGACGGCACGTTCAGCCTTGAAGATATATGGTGTTAGATCGAAATATCCTATCGTCGTGATGGAGGAGGGCGGATGTGAAAGACGTGCGTCCCCGGACGGGCCGATCGATAGTGATCAAGATTTGATGTTCATCGTTCACGTTTTCAGCACCAGCCCATACCGCCTCTTGATGACAACAACAACAACAACAGCTACTAGGGGTTGTGTGAAGGGATCTGCAGATGGCCGAGATGTAGGCTGGCTTGCGTGCTCTCAGCACTTTTCTTTTCTGGCGGTCTTTTCTGCATGGGGAGAGTGGATGGATTTTGACAGATTGCCATCTCGTTGTTGATTGCTGGCCAACCCGGTGGCATCGTGGCAGGCGGGATGAGGGGGCCATGAGGTGGGCGGCGGCGGGCTGGCGTTGAAAGGTGTTGAAGTTTCCTGTGATCAAGCTGGTGTGCTGTTCCTCTCCGTAACAAGAAGGAGGTTGAGGCTGTTGTGTGCGCAGTTAGGTTGCTTGTCAATATCCGCGTGCAGTGCCCTGCCTGCCTGGCTTGGCGGTGTGAAGAGTTGAAGATTGGTGTCTGAGAGTGGGATTGGGTGGATGAAGAGGAGATAGACAACAGGAGAGAGCTGAGACATTGATCTTCGGCGAAGAGAGTGAGACAGACATGTGTCGAAGAAGAAATGAAGAAGTCCCTCAGGTAAAGAGAAAAGAAGAAAAAACAATGAAGCCATCTCCGGTGACGCGATGCGCGCCAGCCGCTGTCAAGATTGGGCTAGAGACAATATCTTGTTGACCGGTCTCCCAACTGTGCTTTGCAATGGCTTTCTAATGATCTGGATTGGGGATAGCTCAAGGTAGCTGCCGGTCTTTGTGGGAGGTTGCCCCTGCGTGGTGCTTGATGTCGATGATGGTACCTATTCAGTTCAGATGTCGTTGCTCGTAAATTATTACTCCTAGGTGCTTGGTGTAACTGTTACTTTCTCTCTGGAGATGATCCACGGTTCCCGGGCTGCGGTCCGCGCGGGCCAGTGGAGAGGTTTTTGGTGTATGTAGGTAGGTAAGAGGGGCGGAGAATTGAGAATTGGCAGGGACCACATGCTAAAGCTGTGCGGTCGATTAGCTAAACCTCGTCGGGTATCGTCTTAGGTCCCTGGTACCTGGTCGAGGCGGGGGCTGCAGTGTCCAATGGGAGTCTGGCGTAGTGTCTGCCAGGTACCGAGTACCCGCAGCCAAGGCCTGATGGGACGAAGGTCGGCAAAGTTGAGAGAGCAAAGGATCTCCCTTCCATTCGAGCTTGTGAGCCATCCGTGACTCCTACTTTACACATAGCAACAAGCAACAGTTCCTATTTCGAGTATTCATCATCAGATATACCGTCCATTAGGTAAACAGGGCCGGTTTCCATTCAGCGATACGTGATCGATACGCCCTCGCAGCAAGCCAGCCGCGGCCAGCCACTGGGAGCCAAGAGCAAACTCGAGTTTTTCACGGTCAACTCCAACATCTGCCATGCCAGCAAATACCGGACTCGACTGGGTACACCTGTCTGGGAACGGCTGCAAGGACGGGCGATTGGAAAGTGACTGATTTGCACCCCACTTGCCCGCATCGCGCCTTCGATTCCAAGCCCCGAGGCTCCTCACCGTCCACTGTCCAGCCTTTTGCGCAATTGATACTTGACCAGACTCCCTTTTTTTTTCCAGTTTGGCCGCCATAACCACACACCTTACACCCATCCTGCGCCGACAGTTCCAGAAGAAACACCAAACCCCGGCCCTTGCGAATTGCGAATTGCGACTCGACAACGGCGCTTTCCGTCTTGCGACAAATACCCAAAGGATCTGCCCTAGCCACGGCGGGCCACGGGCTAGACCGTTTTGTTTTCTTTTTCCTGAGGAGGCGCCAGGAATCGAAAGGTTGGCAGTAGAAGGAAGAAAGGTCCTGGGCCGAGCCCCCCCCCCCAAAAAAAAACGACGAGTAGGAAACGAGAGGGGGGTTAATCTCAAGTCTCAGTCAGTGAAAGAGAAACAGCTGGAGATCGATTCGCTTCGAACGAGGACCGAGTCACTGGAGAGTCCCGCATCCGCCGCACCGAGTTGCCCTGCTTTGAATCCATACTGTACGGTACGGTACCTCGAACCTAGTACCTATCATAACCAGGTCCAGGCTGCTGCGAGGCGGCGCCAAGGGCTCATACAAGCATAAGTGACGGATAGCTGCACCTGAATGCCTTCCTATCACTGCGGTGCAACGTGCACGACCCAGCGCTCGAAAGCTTCCCCAGACGACATCAGAGTGCTTTATCCGCCCCTCCGCCTGTAGCTGCCGCTGCCGCTGCCGCGTGACCAGGACCAAGAGCCTTCCCCTCTGTCGCCATCAACACCAAGCTTTCCTCTGCCCTGCTCCACCGCCGACGCTTCGATCCGGCCAGTCTTGCCTTCGTGGTACAAGGACGCCATCTGCCAGCCGGCCCCGAGCTCATTGGCAGGAAGCCCTCCAGAAACTGCTGCTCGTAGAATACGAGACAGCCCGCGGTTGTTGTGTATCAGGCCTCGTCAGCTGGCGCAGGTGCCCCCTTTTCTATCTGGGAAGGACGATCAGCATCCCATATTACGGGAGGCCACAGGGCCAAAAAGTAGAGAGCCTGAGGGGAGAGAGTGTGTGAAATCAGGAACGAGACGAGAGAGAGAGAGAGAGAGAGCGTCTGTTGATGCCACATCCGGTCTCGCAAGTAGCCAACTAGCCTGCTCTGCTGCCGCCTCATTGCCGCTCACCGCGCTTTAATTAGACGGCTTGCTGGGGTTCGCCACGCCCATACCACACTCACGCAGTACCTGCTGCTCTTCCTCTCCCGTCAACTTGCCGGACATTTCTTTTGTCAACAGGAGCGCCGTGCAGCGCCAATCACTTTTGGGGTGGGTGATACTGCCGTGGGGACTCCTGCAGGAGGGCTTTCAGACCCCCTGACCCCCATCTCGGAGTACGTCCTTTCCCTGGCCGTGAGCTGCGGTCTGGCAGAGATTGGGGTCCTGCATTGCCGTCCCGTCCAGATAGAGACCTGGTCAAGTATAAGAAGCTCGAGGCACGATGCCGGAAGACGGTGGGCCTTTCGGATCAGAGGCAGCAGAAGCCTCGGGTGCCATGTCTGAGACCGAGAACGAGTACGACGACCACGAACCGCATCATAAAGACGAAGACGACAGGATGTCTGAACAAAACACGACTCCAGATGGCGTCGACGCCGGCGGTGAGGTCAAGAAGAAGTATGATCCAAAAGACCCATTACGTCCTCGGCGGAAAAAGGCCAGGAGAGCCTGCTATGCCTGCCAGAGAGCCCATCTCACATGTGGTAAGTCTTTTGTCGTCCTTCACAGCCTTTGCAGTTGTTTTTCTCTTGAATACCCGAGGGGGCAGAGGGCGGCGTTGTTCGTCGGCTGACGCTGTCGTTTAGGTGATGAAAGACCATGTCAACGCTGTATAAAGCGCGGATTGCAAGATAGCTGTCAAGATGGGGTCAGGAAAAAGGCCAAATATCTCCACGACGCACCACCAGAAGCCTTGAGGCCAGTTTTGGGCCCCAACTACAACCCCAACGCGCCAAGTTCACGACACGGCGGCCAGAGGCACCACAGCGTCTCGACGGACGCATCTACCGTCAGGACATTTTTCTCACATTCAAACGCTTCGCAGTATCCTGTCTACTCATCGACACAGAGCATCCCGCATGGTCTGACGGAGAGTTTACCGTTCAACAGTCAACAGTCACCTGTCTCCCCAACATTCCAGCAGACCTCGAGCAACCCTCCTATCAGTGGAATGGTGGCGCCTCCAGTTTCGAGTCCAATGACACCCTTCGGGCTACCCTTCGACCCAAGCGACCCCAACATCTTCAACTTCAACATCGATGGTCTGAACTTTGGGAGTCACTACGGAGCGATGGAGTTTGGAATGCTGGGCCACATGTCATCAAGCGCTGCCGATACCCCACCGCAAGAGTCTGGCATGGGTCAACAGCCAGGCGATGTGCATTTTGGGGCCGGGTTGTTTGGGAGCCATTTCGACAACCGCATGCTGCCGGAGTTTCTGGGTCTGGATGCAGGCGCCAACGGCATCTACTCGCAAGGGAACCTGCAACATGGTCTCCCTCATGCCTACGCGATACCAGCTGGCCCAACTAGTCTTCAGAGTCCCAGCACCGAGAACAACAGCCCACAACCTACCACCTTTGGCTTTGACGACCGACCATCACCGACCATGTCACAATACCCCAACGCTCCCGGAGCCAAGAGCTCATCAAACAGCCGTCCGTCAAAGCTGAGAAAGCTCGACAAGGTGGCCATTCTGCAAAAACGCCAGCGCGACCCGTCGTACATTTATGACACGGTCAAGAAGTCGTTTGACTATGTTGGCAGCTTCCACAAACTCTTTGAAGTTTTGTCCAGTCGGTTTTCCCAACCTCATGCTGCTCGCATAGCCAAGTCGTTAGCTGCCATCCGACCAGCCCTCCTCGCGTCCACACGAAACTTGACGACGCAAGACCTCATCTTTATGGAGCAGTGCTTCCAACGAACGCTATTCGAGTACGAAGACTTCATGACGCAGTCTTCAAGTCCCACCCTTGCCTGTCGGCGCACGGGCGAGATCGCGGGCGTGAACAAGGAGTTCACTGCCCTGACAGGGTGGACCAAGGACGTCCTGCTGGGGAAGGAACCAAACCGCAACACCAACCTCGGCGGGACAGGGGTGCGGACCACCCCGCGGCTCAAGAGCCTCAACGAGAGCAGCGCAGAGAACGGCGGCGCCGCGAGCGGTCCGAGACCGGTGTTTCTTGCTGAGCTGATGGACCACGAGAGCGCGGTGGAGTTTTACGAGGATTACTCGCAACTTGCGTTTGGGGACAGCAGAGGGAGGATGACGAGGAAGTGCAGGTTGCTCAAGTACCGGACTGATAAGCCGGCTGCGGGTGGCGGTGGTGGTGCGGGGGAGGAGGAGAGGAAGCCGGATCCGAGCGCCGCGCCGCGGCAGCAGGAAAAGGACTCGAGGCATAGTATTTTGAGCAACAGGGTGGCGAAAATTGATGGGGAGCATGGGATTTCGAAGCTGGAGAGGGATGGGAAGCTGGAGTGCAGTTATACTTGGACGATTAAGAGGGATATGTTTGATATGCCGATGTTGTTTGTTATTAACGTGAGGTTTTTTTTTTTTTTTTCGACGATTACTATGGAAGAAGGCATTGCTAACGGGATTCTAGTTTTTACCATGTTATTACCGGAATCATAACCAATTGGCGGTTTAAAGAAGAGGCGAAAGCGCAACTTGGGGAAAAAAAAAGGGGGGGGGGGGAAGGGGTAATATGAAGACTAGTTTGTATAT